ACTTTACGTAAGAGATTAAGATAGGAATCCTCAAGTATCGAGTGACCATAAGTATTATAAATTACCTTATAGCCATGTGCCGCTTTTTTTCTTTCACCTTTGAATTGGAAAGACTGTATTTGTTATTCTTTTACTTTCAAGGTGTTTAGGAATTAGTTCTGGGCAAAAGTAAGGAGTTCTATCAGTGAACCTTAGAAACGAGCTGTTATTACTTTCCTTAGACACTTCCTTTTGTGTAACAGTGTGTATTGTTGAAGTAATTTTTGTAGCAGGTAAGAAGTCTCATTCTTGCAGTTTTATCTGGCAAATGATTTCTGCAGTTTTTGGAGAAAGGCACAGGAGCAAATCTGTTATTGTGGTCCAGACAGGAGGATTTGGTTCTGGGCACAGTTTTTGCACCTGCTGATGACTTAACTTTTTGTGTCTCACCCTCTCTGGCTGAGAAATTACAATAGTATTTCCCTCCCCTACTTTCCTTTTGCGCTGGAGTGATGTCCTGAGTGTGAAGGGAAGGAGTTCTGCAGCCACCGCTGAGGCCCGTCTTAGTCCTGCATTTTATCGGGGGCTTGAGGCTGTGTGAGCTTAGCTCCCTTCCTTCGGGTTTGAAGATCTTCAGGAGGCTGACGACTTTCTCAAGATGGGAACACAGAGAACACCATGAGATTGTTTCAGAAACTTCCAACAGGCATTTCCCAAACCCACTTGCTACCATCCATCGTCCAAAGCTATCCCAGAAAATGTCTTCATAGCTCAGCACAGGAGTCTTAGAGAACTTAGACACAGAGCTGGCTCTCGGTAAATATTGGTGGAATGTCGCTAAATGCTTGCAGCGCACACCACCTCCGGCCCCTCCTCACAGAGACAGCTCAGATGCACAGTTGGCTGCTGAGTTCTGTCATGCTCTGGAATGTGCTGACTTTCCTTCCTCGGGGAGATGGCATGACCGAAGGGTGTTATTGTTAGTAGGGTAGCTTTTGCCCTGATCTGTCAACATTTCCTCACTCGGGCTCTTTATTGAGCAACGACAAACTAGAGAAACTGTGGCAGTAAACACAGCTGACCGCCTTCTCCTTCTTGAAACCTCTTCTTTTGGTTACTGTGACCCCATACTCACCCAATTTGCTTCTTACCTCTTGCCATGCTTCTCTCTTTCCTTTGCTGGTTCTTTCTTTTGATCTTGGAGGACTTGAGCTCCTCCAAGCTCAGTCGTAGACCCTTTTCTCTATTCTCCTTTCTTCTCTCCTCTTCGTTTCTTCCCCTAGATACTTGCTCATTCCCTTTTCCCTAGATAATTTCATTAATTCTCATGGTTTCACTTATCACCTATTTAGCAGAAACTTCTGAATTTCAACCTATACATTCAACTATCCACTCAACATTTCCACCAGAAGTCTCATAGTCTCAGTTTTAGCATGCTCAACACAGAAGGAATCCTCTTCTTCTATGTGGTCCCTGCAATCCTTCTACAGTCTTCCTCATCTAAGTTTCACTGTATTCTACAATCTACCTAGTTTCTTGGGTCAGAAACTTGGGAATATTTCTCATCACTTTCCCATATTCCCAACATTCAAACAATAGTCAAGTCCTGTCAAGCATTTCTTTAACATTTCTCAAATTTCCACCTTAGTTGAATCATTCTTGTATCTCTCCTGGTAGCTGCATTAGCCTCCTAACTAGTTTCCTGGCAACAATTCTTACATTCCTGTACCCTCCCACCCCTCAACAATTCTTTCCTTAGAGAGCAGCACCTTCATCCTTCCTTCCTCCCTTCCTCTCCGCTCCCCTTCCCCTCCCCTTCCCCCTTCCCTTTCCCATTCCTTCTCCCCTCCCCTTGACCTCCCCTCCCCTTCCTCTCTCCTTCCCATCCCCTTCCCCTCTCCTCCCCTTCCCCTCCCTCCCTCCTTCCCGCCTTCCCTCCTTCCCTTCCTTCCCTTCTTTCCTTTCCTTCCCTTCTGTGCCTTCCGTCCCTTTCATCCCTTCCATCCATTCCCTTCCCCTTCCCTTCCTTTCCTTTCCCTTCCCTTCCCTTTCCTTCCTTCCCTCTTTCCTTCCTTCCTTCCTTCCTTCCTTCCTTCCTTCCTTCCTTCCTTCCTTCCTTCCTTCCTTCCTTTTCTTCCTTCCTTCCCTCCTTCCTCTCTCTCCTTTTTTTCCCTGTCTTCCACCTTCCTTTATTTTTGATAATTTAAATTTTTATTTGTTTTCCTTATTTTCAACTATTTATTTTAACATAATTATAGCTTCATAGGAAGTTACAAAATATATTACAGAATGGTCCTTGAGCTCTTCATTCAGTGTTCTCCAAGGGCAACATCTTACGTAATTATAGCACAATATCAAAACCAGGCAATTGACATTAATGTAATCATAGAGTTTATTCAGATGTGATTGGTTTTACATGCACACATACATATGTGTATGTGTATGTGTATGTATAGTTCTATGCAATCTTATCACATATGTAACCATCACTACAATCAAGATATAGAACCACTTCATCCCAATAGCCCTCATACTAAAGAATGCTCCTTTAAAAACAAAATGTGATCCACTCACGCCTTGCTTAACAGCCTTTAATGACTTAAAAGCCCCAGATTCTTAAATAAGGGCTGCAGATACCTGTAATCTGCCTCCAGCTACCTCTGCAGCCACCTCTTACCCCTTTCCTTTTGCTCACCAAGCCTCTGCTCACTGGCCTTTCTCTTCCTTGTAATTTGCTAAGCTGCTTCACTGCTCAAAGCCTCCACCCATGCTGTTCCCCTTACTGGGAATCATCCTCTTCCCACCTAGCTAACTTCTCATCCAACACATATCAGCTTAAAGATCTTTCTCAGGGAAGGTTTCCTTGACATCTCAGTCCAGGTTAGGTTTTTCTATTGTTTGTTTTTACGGCCAATTATGATTTTCCTTCATGGCATTAATTATACAATTGTAGTTGATAGTTACGTGTGTAGCTGATTCGTCTGAGGCCTCTTTGGCTAGGCTGGAAGGGCTCGAGATGTCTTGCTCATCCCCACTGTGTCTTTTCTGTCCAGTGCAATGGCTGGCCTTGTAGGTGCTCAATAAGTACTTGGTAAGTTAATGAATAGTTATCCTAAGCTGGCTGGGTGTGGCTGGGGTGTGGCACAGAACTGGGCAATGTCAACTTGTCTATATGAGCATCAGCTCCATGACCTCATGTTCATGCTTTCAGTGGTGCCCTGTCAGAGAAACTGGGCATCTGTGGTCATACCACATGGAGTCCCAAACAGGTATTTCCTGCCCTGTACCCATCCCAGTGTTCTCTCTGAGAGATTGGAATAGGAAGTAACCCTGGCTAGTGTTCCTCTTAGACAAATCTTTGAGATGCTTTCAAGAATATCAGCTGGCTGTTCACCGAGGCTTTTAATGTAAGGCTTCTTTCTCCTTGGGGCCACTGTCATGGTGCCATCTTGATAGGGTTATTAGTTCAGAGCTGTGGGAGTCTCTAAGTTGGATGGTACCTGATAAGTCCTTGAAAAGCTTTTAGATCAGGCCTCTCCTTGCTGCTTCTGCCAGTATTCACTAAGTGTCCCCTCCCTACCACCAACAAGTCATGTCCACACCCCTTGCACTCTCCAAGATAACTCAGCGTGGTTTCTATTTGTGGAGCTCAAAATGTGAAGGATTCTTATGTTGGCCGAATAGACGGTATTTCATCCAAAGGGCCATGATATGAACAGTTCTCTGAAGATTTGAAAGGGAGGAATTGGGGGCTTCTGCTAAGATGTGGCTTTGCCAAGGGGCGGTGGTGCCATGAGGGATCCTGTCTGTGGAAGACACTAGGTTGGCAGCGCTAACCATGATTGGTGTCCCCTGTCTCTAGCATCCTTCTTTAAAGCATATAATCCTTCAAATGAAAGAGGCAACACAAGGCACTATATAATGGGTTTGGCGGAATTGGAAGCTCTGGAGAACGACGAATGCTTGGCAATGGGCAAAGCGTCAATTTTTTTTTTTTTTTTTTGTGACAGAGTCAGTAGTGGGCTTTGCCCTGGGTGCTCTGGGCAGATTCTGATCTGGTTCACAGATCTGGGAGACCTGGGAATGTTATCCAAGTTTTCCTTCCATGCCAGATAGAAGGCCAAGGGTCTTTGCATTCTACAGTTCATGGCCATCCTCTCCCTGCAAGCATCTCTCTTTTAGGTGACCTAAGTCTGAGGACTGAGTCCAGTTCTGCCGGCCAAGTCTTGGACATGGCTCACTGGGGCTGTGCTCGAAGGTCACAGCTTATTGTCCCTCCTTTCGTCTTGTGATTGGGTTGGCTTCCATGAAACTTGGGATGGAGAAAAGAGTTAGAACCGGCGACCAGTCCTTTCAGGATAGACCTGGCCATTTGCTCTGATGCTACATTTCTTTGCCGTCCCTGCCAGGCCACTTCCTTCTGTAGTCCCTGGTACTGTTCAGGGTGCGGACTTTTGCTAGTCTCATGGGTGTGGGCATGGCATGGGTACTTTAGGTAACAGTGCAATGCCTCATCCTACTCCTGAGCACTGACCCTGGGAACCTCATACAATCCTTCTGATATCCTCCCTTGCACCCCAAGGCAGTGTAAATAACTGGTTGGATCAGAAGGCCCAGTTCCAAATAGTTCTTACCTGTTGTGCTGCCACAGCTGACGCTGGGGCTTGGAGGGTCCCGCAGGTGTCCCTCATAGTGCTACCCCAGGCTGCGTGCTCTGGAGTTTCTTCTCTCGTTCTCTCTGGTAACTGCTTTCTGTCCTCATCAACTGGTTACACCTACTGGGGAACATGATCTTAGTGCAAGCAGAATTGGATATGCTTATATCTCTGTTTTGCCCTTGATCTGAATAACGGGGTGGTGAAGAATGTGGGTAGGACCCTGTCTGGGCCCCCATTTTTTCCCCTACGCCATGCTACCCTGGCCTGCTTGCACACTGGGCATCGATGTGTTTCCAGTTAGTGGTGTTGAGGGGTGGCAGTTCAGACTTTGGCCCTAACTCTGCTGTTTCTGGCTTCCTCCAGGTCACCCAACCTGCCTGCAGTTCACCCTGAACATGACTGAGGCTGTCAAGACCTACAAGTGGCAATGCATAGAGTGCAAATCCTGTATCCTCTGTGGGACTTCAGAGAATGATGTGAGTTTGGGGCTTTCCCTGTGGGAGGGAGAAATCCACAGAGCTGGGGTCCTTTGAGGGGTGAAGAGGAAGGAAGGACTCTTGTCCTGGGGCCTGTTACCCTGGCACTTGGGAGCAACCTGGCCATTAGCAATTGAGGGCTCAGAGACTGGCAGTGGGGAACACTGCTTATGGCAGGGATGTATTTGACTGTTTCCACCACATTCCACAGTATATGATCTCATTTGGTCTAAATGTTAAATATAATAAGTGCAAAATTTTCAAGAACACTTTTTATTATGGGCAATTTCAAACATATACAAAAGCAGAGAGATTAATGGAATTGATGTACGCCCATCACCAGCTTTGACAAAGATCAGTACACATCCAACCTTGTTTCATAAATACCATGACCTCCCACTCCACAGTCTCGGTCATAATATCGTTTTACCTGTAACTATTTCATATGTATCTCAAAAGGGTAAGGACTTACTTTTATACCTAAATAACCAAAATATTAACATAGCTAAAAAATCAATAATTCCTTAGCATAATCAAACATCCAGTCAACAGTTCTATTTCCTCAATCGTCTCATAAATGTTTATATTACAGCCTGTTTATTTGAATTGGGATTCAAATAAAGCCCATACCTTGCAATTAGTTGATATGTCTCTGAAGTTTATTTAAATATTTGTAGGTGCATATAAACATATATATAACTTCTTTAAATAACACATAGACTTTTCCCTCCATCTTATTCTCTTTATTCCTCCCTTAAATTCTTTGTTGAAGAAATCAGATCATTTGTTCAAGTTCTCATGACTGTATTTGACTGAGTGTATCCCTGTGCTGTTTGACATTTTCCTCTGTCTCTTGAATTTCTTGTCAATTGTTAGTTAGGGTTAGAGGCTTGATTCAGGTTGCACTTCTGCCTCTCTTTCTGTGTCTGTCTTTATCTCTCTCTCTGTCCTCTCATCAACTGTGTCTCCATCTATCTGTCTCTCTCTCTCTTTTGGCAAGACTACTTCAGAGATGGTGGTGTATACTTTCATCAGGAGGTATCTAATGCCTGATGTTTCTCTTTTTGTAAAGGTAGCATCTATTGATGACCTTTGACTAGATTAACTATTCTGTTAGGGGTTGCAAAATAGTGATATTCTTATTGGATAATTTCTTTTTTGGTTAATGGTTGGAGTAATTCCAGGAAGAGAAACTTGCCTAGTCTTTCATTTGGTTACCTTCAGGTGTAGATCATATAGAAATGGCAGGAAAAATGCTTGGTTCTTTCCCTTTGTCAGTTTTAAAAAAACAGTGTGGTTAAAATATCTATTTATGATTTAAAAAATTAAAAAATAGTAATTGTGGGATATCTTCTTAAGATGATAAAGTATTTGTACCTTAGAACTAAAGCCAGTATCTTATTTAATGAGGAAAACACTAGGCACAATTCCACTAAGATTAGGAACCAGGGGAGGGTGCTCACTATGTCTATAACTAGGATTTGATACTATTCTGGAGACATTAGCTAATGCAATTGGACAGGAGAATTTAATTAGAGATGTAGGAATGGATAACAAAGTAATAAAACTCTATTTTTATATTACATGATAGTATATCTGGAAAACCTTAGAGAATCAATGATAAGCTAACTCAAATATAAAAGGTAACAGATTATAAAACTAACACACAATAATTAATAACCTTCTCACATACGAACAATAACCAGTTAGAGAACATAATTCCATTTCTAATGGCAGCAAAGAAGAAATATTAAGGGATATATTTAACAACAGATATGCAAAACCTATATAAAGAAAACTTTTAAACACTTTTGAAAAGACACAAAGAACAAATGGAAGGGCATCTTATTATCTTGGGTAGAATGACTTGACATTATAAAGATGTCAGTTTTCCTGAGTTAATTTATAAATTTATTTGAAGTCCAATAAAAATATCAATGAACTTTTTTATAGAGTTAGACAAATCAATACTTAAGTTCATATGAAGAAACAAACATGCAAAAAAAGCCAAGAAAATACTGATAAACAAACTATGATGGAAACTAGCCCTACCAGATATTAAAACATACTGTAAAGCCTCTATAGATAAAACAGTGTGGTACTGATGCATGAAGAGACAAATAGACCAGTTGGGATAGAATAGAAAGCCCATAAATAGATCCAACTACATATGGAAATACAGTATAGGGTAAAGGTCACATCTAAAATTTCTGGGTCAGAGACAGACTTTTAAATGAATGGTGCTGGAACAACGGGGTAGCCATTTGAGAAAACACAAAATTAGATTTATATCTTATGCCATACATAAAAACAATCACCAGATACATTGGGGATCTAAATGTACAAAGTAAAACCACGCTAGTACTAGAAGAAAGCACAAATAAATTCCTCTTTAATCTAAATACAGGAAAAGGTTTTCAGACTGTGACTCAAAATCCAGAAGCAATTAAATAAAATGTTGGTACATTTGCCTACATAAACATTTTGCATAGTCAAAAACATGATAAAGTCAAAAGACAACTGACAAACTGGGAGGCAATTTTGGTAGCATGTACCACAGTTTAAGGGCTAATTCCCTATATAAAAAGAAGTGTTAAAAATTGAAGACAAAGGACCAGAAACCTGATAGGAAATGAGAAAAATGCATGAAAGACAATCCACAAAAGATATAAAAATGACCCTTAAAGATGCAAAAAAAAGTTCAAATGCACTCACAAAGAAACTCAAGGCTGAGATATCATTTCTTACCTATCAGATGGGCAAAAGTTGAAAAGTATGACAATATATTCTGTTGATGAAGCTATGGGAAAAATGGTGCCTTCATACATTGTTGGTGGGAATACGAATTAGTATAACCCTGTGGAAGGAAATTTGACAATACCTAACAGAGCTAACATGCACTTAACTTTTGACTAAGCATTCTCACCTATAGGAATCTACCTTGAAGATATACCCCCAACATGATGGAAATACATATGCATAAAGTTATTTGTGGTAGCATTGTTCATTATTACAGAATATTGGAAACAACCTAAATATCCATATATAGAAGAGTAGTTGTTGAATAAACAATGGCACAGCCATACAGTGGAGTACTATGTAGCTGTAAAATAGAATAAGGCAGATGTCTATGAATTGATGCGGAGTCATTTCCAGGATATATTGTTAAGTAATAAAGCAAAGTAAAATAGAATATCTATAGTATGCTGACCTTATTGTAAGAAAAAAGACACATAAGAAAACCTACATGCATTTGCTCACTTTTGTAAAACAAATATAGGAAGAATAAACAGGATGCTAATGAGACTGGTTATCTACACGGGTCTGGAAGAATGGGGTAGGGAAAAATGGGAAAATGAAAATGGGGGCAGTAGGGATAAGGGAGGAACAACACTTCTTAGAGAATACTTTCTTGTGTAGCTTTGACTCTTACAACCATCGTAAGGTTTCACATACCTCCCAAATAGATAAATACTTAAAATCAACCAAGATGTAGGGAAAAACTAAAATGGAATAAAAACTGTAACAAATAAACCTAACTCTAACATAAATAGATAATGTAACCATAGAGTTATGAAGAGTGAGGAAGAAAAGAATAACCTAAGTAGCTTTGGAAAACAGTATTTTGACTGTGTGTTGTAAAGCTAAGGGCAGAAAGAACTGTACCACAAATACTGTACTCTAGTTAATTTATTTTCATAGGTATATGAATTAGTAATTCTGAAACTACATATGCTAGATTTGAACTAATAACTGTGTATTGTGACTAATGAGAGTCTAGTTTCTCAAAGTCAGAAAAAGAATAACTAAATAAAGGGGGGAAGGCTAGATTGAAGGCATTGGTTTGGAATAGTGAGTATCGCTATGAACTCATGATTTTATATACAATGTATTATATATAGTTTATACATATTATATCTATATCTAGCCATATGTGTACACACATATTAATAGACAGAAATAAGTAGAGATGTATGCATGTGTACCTACACATACATTTATTTCCTACCTGTGTTGGCTGGGAGGGCCTAGAAGCAATGACAACACAGAAGCAATGAAGACACATGGCATCAAGAAATTGGTTTCTAAACACCATTCTCTCATAAAAAGAATCATGGATCCTTAGAGAAATGGCTGATTCCAGGGCTGGGATGTAAAATGTGCCAGATGAGCCTGGAATATTATGTGGTGTCAGAAAATAAGGAAGTGTTTAAAAAATGAAAGGGTATTTTCATGTGTCTAGAGGACACAGGAAGCAACTTGAAGGAACCCTTAATGGCCAAATCTAGGAAAACTTTAGCTTAAAAAAATGATATTATTAGGTTATAACCTAAAGAAAAAAATAAATATCTATACTAATGTAAAAATTGAATAAATAAGTAAACAGAGGAGAGGGTAAGCTCTTCCTCAGAGCAGAATTCCAGTGAATAAATGTAGTGGGAAAGGGGAAATAATCATTGGGAACACTTCACAGTTATGTGAGAACTGTCAATTGATGCTAAAATTAGTGGGCAAAAGTATGATGAGAAATAGGATATTTGCATAATCTCAAATATCCTATTTCTCTTGTTGAGGAGATAATCTCCAAGTATCTCTCCAACAAGATTACTTATTAGTATATTACAAAGGGAAAAACAGTAACTTTACAGTGGAAAATAAACAGCAGACACTACCTTAACTATATAATCACAGATAACATTACAAGTAATAAGACATACTGGCCTCAATTACCCCCGATACGATGCGCCGAGAAGGGTGCAACATTACTTTAGTGGTATTCTTGCTCAAAAATGCATGCATATGTGGATCTTCTCATGAGAAAAGATCCAACTGAAATTGAGTGACATTTACAAAATCACTGGCTTGGACTTTTTGAAAGTGTCAAGCTCATGAAAGACAAAGAAACTGAGGAACTGTCACAGATTGAAGGATACTAAGAAAACACAACAATTAAATGCAATGAGGGATCTTGGATTGGATCCTGGGGAAAGAGACATAGGTGGGGGGCTGGGCATGGTGGCTCATGTCTGCAATCCCAGCACTTTGGGAGGCTGAGGTGGGTGGATTACCTGAGGTCAGGAGTTTGAGAACAGCCTGGCCAACATGGGGAAACCCTGTCTCTACTAAAAATACAAAAATTAGCCAGGCATGGTGGCACATGCCTGTAATCCCAGCTACTCGGGAGGCTGAGGAAGGAGAATTGCTTGAACCCGGAAGACGGAGGCTGCAGTGAGCCGAGATCACGCTACTGTACTCCAGCTTGGGCAACAGAGTGAGACTGTCTCAAAACAAACAAACAAAAAGAGACATAGGTGGGAAAACTGGAGAAATTCAAATAAAGTCTATAGATTAGTTAACAGTATTACACCAATGATAATTTTCTGATTTTCATAATTCTGCTATAGTAATATAAGATGCTAATATTAGGGTACACTGAGTACAATTCTCAGCACAATTTCTGTACTTTTGTCTAAGTTTAAAATTATTTCAAATAAATAAATAAAAATACAGTGTGATGTTTCTCTAGCATCTTCTGAAGGTGACTAAGGTTTTAAAAAATATGTTTATGAACTGAAGATTTTAAACATATTTTATTTGTTGTAATCCATTATAGGTAAAATTGTCCCATCTTTGACCAGTGGTAGCATATTCAGGTAGGATCCTGAGTCCTTTTGACATACTTCTAATAGTATTTGATAGCTTTCTTACTTTGTAATATCTAAATATATTTATACATTTTATGCTCCAGACCTGGAATCACCTATTTCTCCCGGGACTCCTAGTTCCTTTTAGTGGGCAATGGTCTTTGGAGAACATAATGTGGGTGCTAGAGGTGCTAATTTTGCTGTTTTTTTTTTTTTTTTTTTGAGACGGAGTCTCGCTCTGTCACCCAGGCTGGAGTGCAGTGGCCAGATCTCAGCTCACTGCAAGCTCCGCCTCCCGGGTTTAGCCATTCTCCTGGCTCAGCCTCCCGAGTAGCTGGGACTACAGGCGCCCGCCACTTCGCCCAGCTAGTTTTTTGTATTTTTTTAGTAGAGACGGGGTTTCACCGTGTTAGCCAGGATGGTCTCGATCTCCTGACCTCGTGATCCGCCCGTCTCGGCCTCCCAAAGTGCTGGGATTACAGGCTTGAGCCACCGCGCCCGGCCTAATTTTGCTGTTAGTCATTGTTTTGGCGCACTTTCTGTGGACAGAGGTAGAAAATATTTTTTGCTTGTTTTAAAGATAAACTACACCATGAATTTATACTGATGCATCCAGTTCATACTTAGAACCAACTATTGAGTTTTGACTTAACTTCATTGGCCTACATTTCTATTTTCTTTCAACCATGTTACAAAATCTTGCTTTTCAATGATACCAACATAATTACTCATTTGACGCACATAAAGCGGTCTCAGAATATTGATTCCAATATTTAAACCAATAATATAATTGCTGAACATTACACACACACCCATATATATGCATATTTGCATTTATTTATGACCTTAAGTTATGTCCTACTAAGGATGTATTGTCAGATTAATTGTTTTATAGTCATTTGGAATAGTTTCTCTCTGTGTGGTTATGCCACCAATTGGTTCCTGGATAGTTGGTAGTGAGAGGTACTAAAATTGTGTTTGTCATGAGAGTTAGCATGAACTGGGGGTTCTTGGTGGTGGAAGAGAAGAGAATATGGTGCTAGACAATGGTCAACCCATGCAAAATGCACTTAAACTCTCAGGTGCCCAGTTTTCCTTTGGGAAATTGTAATCCAGGATATTCTACCTATTTGTATTTCCTATGTAACTGCTATAGTAGGGGTTATTGCTGTTTTTAAGGCATTAATAATACTGTTTCGGACAAGTCCTGTCTGTTTTCTGTCCCCATCCTAACTTGTTTCTCCTTGTATTATCCTATTATCCCTAAATCAAATTGTCCTGTAGCTTATTCTGGTTCTACAATAATGATGTAACTTTTTTGGCGTAAACTACAGTGTGCTCGTCTTCATCCTACCTCTCTGACTGTTCCTTCTCAGTCTTTTTTTCTCTGCCTACCCTCTAAAGTTGGAGTACCCCAAGTGTCTATTCTTGACCTTCTTCTCAGTAAATTCTTTTGGGTCCTTGATCTTTCAGGTAATTCAATGAAAGCTATGAATTTACTCTTTCCATAGAAACATGTACTTTCTACCTATGTACAAAATTGTATGTATCATTTCAAGAGGTTCATGGACACTCCTCCATGAAGACAAGTTCAAAGACATTTGCTTTCACACATTCCAGGCTTCCTCTCCTAGGACCTTCATTTGCCATCTAGTTACAATGACTCCCAAATCCATATCTCACACCCAGACTTCTCTCCTGCTCTCTTCAACAGCCTCCAGGTCATCCCTATCTGTAGAACACGTCTATAGCTGAGGTTGCCCTCTCCCTCCCATGAGTCTGCTCTTCCTCCCATGTCCCAATGGGTGACTGTATCATCAGGCTTGCTGACCAAGCCACAACCCAGAGGGCATCCTTGGCTTCTTCCTTGTCACTCTCCCCATCTAATCAATGATGCTTAAATGGGAGCAAGACCCATTTCTTTCTCCATGCCACAGTCGTAATTCAGGCCACAATCATCACGCATCTGGATAGCTATAGCAGCTTCCTAACTGGTCCCCTGGCCTCTTGAATGAACCTCTCTCCCACTGGGTATCTACTCTTACATAGCAGCTAGTAAGATCTTTCTAAACTGCAATCTGATCATATCACTGCCCTGTTGATAACTCTTCAAAAGCTCTCCTGTTGCCCCACTGATGGATTTTAGCATGACAAAAAAAGCCCTCCTTGCTGGCTCCCTGGGGATTCCAACTGCTATATCTAATTTTATCCAGGATTTCTGCACTGGTGGGAGCCAAGGTGAGATTTGATACAAAACTTTATGTTGAAAAAGTCTTATAAGCCATCCAAACAGTTTCAAAAATCACCAAATAGAACAGGGCTGAAACTACGGGGTGGGGCCAGATCACAAACAGTTTCTGAGTAGCTCCTGTATGCAAGGAAGTCACTAGAGTGGATGCAGTGATGAAGAAAACAAGATTTTCCCCCAAGGGCCTTATAGTCCATAAAGAGGATAAAGGGTGGAAAAAAGAGGCATGTTCCAAATTAATTATTCAAGAAAACAAACATGTAGATGTCTTTTTTTTTTTTTGAGACAGAGTCTCACTCAGTTGCCTAGGCTGGAGTGCAGTGGTGCAGTCTTGGCTCACTGCAACTTCTACCTCCCGGGTTCAAGAGATTCTCCTGCCTCAGCCTCCTGAGTAGCTGGGATTACAGATGCACGCCACCATGCCCAGCTGATTTTTGTATTTTTAGTAGAGATGGGGTTTCACCATGTTGGCCAGGCTGGTCTTGAACTTCTGATCTCAAGTGAACCACCCACCTTGGCCTCCCTAAGTGCTGGGATTACAGGCATGAGCCACAGTGCCCGACCAAGAAAACAAGTGTGATTAGATGTCTACCACATGCCAGGCATGTAACATAAAGGAAAATGCATTTAAATGTCACAGAAAGGGAAAGTACCACGGGGCTCTGCAGGAGGGAAGAGAGAACTTCCAGTTGAGGTAGATTAGCAAAGTCTTTGTGGAAAAGAAGTGCTTGAAGAAGATGTACTTGAAGGACAGGCAGGGAATGGACATGCAGAGAAAGGGTCAGGGGTCTGGGAGAGCCTCTAGGCAGAAGTAGCCATTGGTGCAAAGATATGGCCTGTGTCCTTTGAAGTTAACCACAATCCTGGGGGGACCTGTTCTCACCTGGGCTCCAGCCTCCAGACAGTGAGGAAGCTTCTGGAAGCCAAGGGATGGCGCTACTTGCATTTTTCTACATTCTAATGAAACCCTGAAGAGGGTCTGAGGTTCATCCCAGTACAGCTGTTGCCCATTTCACAGATGGAGGGAGTGGAATCCAGAAGAATTCAATTAAGATCTTCAAATATATAAAGTCATGGACAATAGAGACATTTTCTGCCCTTTGGAAGCAGAGCTATTGGCTCTGGAAGTTCAGAAGAATAAGGAATCCTTTCAAATTTGGATGTGAGGTGGTAGTCACAGAAGGCTTCTTGGAGGAGGTATGAGTTAAGCAGAACCCTAAAATAGGTGTAGGATTTATATAGGCTGGGAGGTAGAGGGGGAAACTCTAGGTGTGGGAAAAGCACAGGCATGTTCAGGGGACAGTGAGGACTCCATGTGGGACCTGGAAAGGGGATCCAGTGAGGCCGATGTGGAAATAAGGCTGATGGGTAAGTAGGGGCCAGACATTGGCCCCAAATAACGGAATCTCTCCTCCTCTGTGCTTGCTCTGTGTTCCACCAGGACCAGCTACTCTTCTGCGATGACTGTGACCGTGGCTATCACATGTACTGTTTAAATCCCCCGGTGGCTGAGCCCCCAGAAGGTAATGATGATGAGGTCAACAGTAACAACAGCAGCAGATACTACTACTACTAGCACTTACTGAGCTCTCACCATAGTACAGGCCTGTGCTAAGGGCTTTACATGTCCATGTCTTGTCTCATTTAATCGTCACAACCCCACAAGGTAGGTACGACGACTGCCATTTTACAGATGAGGAAACTGAGGCACAGTCCAAGCAGCTTAAATTTCAACTTGAGGGCCGAGGAGGTTTTTCCCAGACATGCAGTGGAGATGCTGGGGAGGTGTGAGCTTCCAGGGGAACTAGCGCAGGCCCGGCGACACTAGTTTGGAGGCATGACCAGGGAGTGAGAGTCTTGATAAGAGTTGAGCCCATCTCCTCTGAGCACCTGCTTTCTGCTGAGCCACAGACTCTGGCACGTTTTCAGGCCTGGGACTTGGTTTCTGCATTGCCGAAGTTCAAAGGAAACAGGGTTTACAAGAAGTTAGGGGCACTGGGGTGGGGCTCCAGAGTTAGCAGAGGGGCTGCTACTAAAGCCATCTCATTTCTTGCAGGAAGCTGGAGCTGCCACTTATGCTGGGAACTGCTCAAAGAGAAAGCCTCAGCCTTCGGCTGCCAGGCCTAGGGCCCTAGGTCACAGAATGTGACTTGCTGCTGGAGAGGCTAAAGCAGAGACCAGCTCAAACCAGAACGCGCCCTCTTCCTACATATCCAGACAGACCAACTGTAAGGAAAAGAAATAGTCCCAGAGGGGCACGGACACATGGAACCAAGAGGGCGAGGCATCTCCTGACCGCCCCCGATATGTGCGGAACTTCAGCCAGCACCTCCTTGTTTCTACCGGAAGGAAGTTGCACTTCGGAAGAACACCGCCGGCCCTAGCCCTGTGGAACCCCTTTCACTTTTGCCCTAGCACCAAGGCCCTCTCATTGGTTCCCATTTTAAGGGAAGCCATTTCCTGACCACTCATCCATCACTTGTGTGTAGTGTGGTGTTTTTTATCTATTGTGTTCCAAGAAATCTTCGCACAGCCCCCGCCCCCTCCAGCTTAGGCTCTTCATCCTGAAATTCTCACCCGAGGAATAAAGGGCTGTGGAGAAGTTGTTGTTTATGGCAAGCCTCACTGGAAACTTCTAGACTTGGGGTCTTGCAACCCCTTCTTGTTCCTTGGTGTCTGTGGAGACAAAGAGTTGCCTTCTAGAACCTCAGCAGTGGCATCCACAGCCAGCCTGGTCTTGATCCACTGCCTCAAGTTACTAGATGGGGGCGGGGAGGGAGGGAGAGGCGCTGAGACATGGGAGGAAGCATTGCGGAAATGGTGCCAAGGCCCCGCCATAGCCAGTCAGTACTTGTTATCCATCGGGAGAGACTTTGCAAGGGGCCAGGCTGGTTCCTTGACCTTAGAGCTGGGACATCCTTTAGGTGAGACCAGCCACAGCCTATGGACAGAGGAAGACGGTCAAGCCTCTGCCTCTCAGCCCACCTGGGTCTGGAGAACTGGTTCAGCTTCCCCTGGTGGGACTCAAGAACCAGGAAGGGGAGTGAAGGCTGCTCAATCATGTGTCTGAATGCTGGATACAGGGGGCTGCAGCTTTGAGAAACCTTCAGTATTGATGCCACGCTCTGAATTCCTTTTCCTAAGTAATTTCTTCTTTCCACGTAGTGTATGTTCGCTATTGTCTACTGAGACCTGACTGGGAATTTTAAGATGGGGGAAGGAGAAGATTGTTATCTAAACAAATAATTAGGGTGAGGTGGTCATCATTCACGACCAGGGTGGCCACATTTTAGAACTCTCAGTGCGGGGGTTACTCTTGTCTCCTAAGCTCCCCAAACGTGCAGGACTCTTGTTTTCAAAAAAAAATGTGTCTAGAAGAAAGAGGTGGGGAGGCTGAGCTTCCGAGAACTCTGTGTGTTGGAAGATAGCCCCGAGGGCTGGAGCGGATTGGGCTGACTTTGAATCACAGCAGCAGCACAATAACTGACATATTTCTGGAAAAATCATTTGCCCAAAGGGCAGGTCTCGGTGAGCGGAACCCTCGTGCATGCTTGGCTTCTCTGAAATCAGCTCCATCTCTGTGGTCCGGCTGCTCACAACAAAGGCCCAGGTTATTTTTAGTTCTTAAGCTCCTGAGGAAGCTCCCGGAGACTCGGGCTAGTTGGGCCACTTCTGCCCGGCTGCAGTATTTGTGCTGTCCCTCAGCAGGAGTGCTCCTCTCCAGGCTAATTGCTCTTGGCCAGTGGACCCAGGGCAGCCTGGCATGAAACCAAGCAGTGTGGGTCTCCCCCACGCTTCTGCAGAGTGATCTGTGGCAAGCGATGGGGGTCACTCTCCTGCAGGGGCCTGTGGCCTCAGAGTGAATCACACACATACATAATGGTCTCATTTAAAGGGCCCCTGTCCGGATGGAATTTTCGTCTTCCTCATAAGTAATTTCCTTCCGCCTGCTGGTCGGTGAGCTCGTCTGAATCCTGAAGGCCCAGGGAGGGATAGGGAGGGTGACATTCCATCAGAGGGGCACATTTTCTCTCCTGACTACTCCAGCTCTCTCTCTTCCCACAAAACTCAAAGCAGGCTGTCTCCAAAGGCTAATAATTGGTTTTGAGAGTCATTTTAATTTAAATTTAGAGAAAAAAAATTCCCCAAATGTTCCCAAATGCCACAATAGCTTAAAAACTTAAAAAGCAAGTCTGAAACCCCAAATTGTGGCTCTACAACTTGACACGTCCTCTTCGGAGTATGTGTAAATTTGTTTTCCACAGAAGTGCAGGCGATAGGGCACCCCTGTTCTATCTCAGCCCCACGTCTGCTTTGCCCACACAAGCTGAGCCTGAGCTGGGTTTCCCAGGCCAAGGCAGGGCACTGGAACTTGCCTGCAGTGGTGAGGGTCAGGGCTCTGGAGTGACATTAGGATGGCCCTGGAATTCCCCTCTCTGCTTCATTACTCCCTGCAGAATGGGGCCAACCCATTCTTCATCTTTGGAGGCCTCAGTTTCCCCATCTGGAAAGGGATAGCAAGCCAATTTGTGGGCTGGCACTGTCAGGGTACTGCAAGCAGACAAAAGTCTCCATGGTCACATTGATCACCTCTGTGTTGAAAAGAGGACAGGGTTGTTAAACGTTAAATTGGTTTCTTTTTTTTTTTTTTTGAACCCCAGAGAATGAGCTAGAATCATTCTCTGAGCTAGAATCACAAGATGCCTGTGAAGGATCAGGGTTTTTGTGTTGCCACTGCCATGGAGTAGCTGTGTGACACTGGGCAAGTCACCTAACCTCCCTGAACCTCAATTTGTCCACCTGGAAAATGGAGATAGTAACACTTGCCCTGACTATTCCAGAGCGAGATTGAGAGTTTTGCTACATAAACAAGCACTGCAGAGCCAATGCTTGTCTGGGAAGAACTCCAGGTATTTTCCATGTCCACCTTCTTATGTGCATTAGCCAATGTTAGATGTCTTCTTCATATCTCCCTTGTGACCAAAGGGAGTTTATATTGCCAGGGCCGGGCTGCGCATGGTCAGGGTCCTGGCAAAAGCTGTGACCAAGGAAATCATGACTTGCATGGGCTGTGGGGTGGAGGTGAGGGATATACATGGGGTTGGGGACTTTAAAATGAAGGTGCTCAGGATACTCCCTTCTATAAGATGAATGCAGTTGAGAATGGAAAGGTGACTTTTAGAGAGGGCTATGATTCGTTTCAGTTCATGGGTAACGCTCACTTTCTGACGAACACTGCCACTTTCTAGCTGACTGACCTTGAGCCAATGACTTCACCTCTCTGAGCCTCATTTCACACATCTGTAAGGTGGGGAAACATGGCCTATCCAGCATGGTCTTTGCAGTTATTCGAGGTGACGTTGGTAAAGATCCTGGCACGGGTCTGGCACGATGATGGTCCCCACTCCATGGTAGCTATTGTCATTTTCTGCAGAGGTCACCAAATGGGGACAATGATGGGGTTGTCTCCCGGCTCAAATGCTGGGAACAGCCAGGAGACCTTTGCTGGGCTTCACCGGGAGACCTCTGTATTGTGGCTCCAGCAAACCAGAGAGGTGAGGCTGCTGGATTCAACCCGGAAGTGGAAATCCTGTTCCCTGCAGGCATTTTTGAAACCCTGCTTTTGGGACCTGTAGCAAATCCAGCGCAGGCAACATTATGTGGAAATAGAAACAGGGCTCCTGCTAGGAGATTGACATTCTGGCTTTCCTTCGGAACCCCTCACTGACTTATTGCCCCTGAAGCAGGAGCCAGCAGGTCCCAAAGCTCCCCTGCTCCTGTCCCTGCCCCAGGGCAAGGTAGGAAGCCCAGGCAGGCTGAGCCCAGCCAACTGGAACCAGGGAAGAGCTCGTGGGTGGGTGAAAGGGAGGGAAGGAGGCCAGATTCCTCCAGAGCTGGGGAAGATAACAGGTTTTGAAGTTGGGGGAGGGTTTGGGTTTCACAGTGATGGTTTCATGATACCCTGGAGGGTTACACACTCATGGTGCATTTTTGTCTTCGTGCTTTGAATACAGCCCGCTTCCTTTCAACACTCCGCTTAAAAGTTTTGACGTTTTAAGGAAGAAAAATGAGATGATTGTTATTACTTTTCCTTTGGGAGCAAGTGGAGGAGACCTGCGCTCTTTTGTGCTGCTGAAGAAAGGTTGCTGGCAACCTCAGGCCTCAGGGCTCAAAAGGAGGGGCTTATAGTCTCCTCTTTGGGTCTGCGTGTGAGGAGGTAGGGGGCGTTGTGCTGCCCCATGGCCCAGGGCGGGCCCTGAGGACCACATCCCTGGCCCCCAGGCTGGTTTTTAGCCTGTCGTGGAAGTGCTGGGACAGGAGCAGCCCCTTCTTTTCTCACTCCCTGGCTGCCCCTCCTGGCCCCTCTTCAGGGGGTCCCAATGGAGAAGTTGGCCCTGGCCAGAACCACGCTCACACTCCCATGGAAGATGCCGCAAGTCCCAGGCCTGGCTCCTTGTAGCAGTGGTGACTTGGTGTCCCTTTTAGCAGGCTCCCATTCCTGGGGAGGAAGAGAGACAGGGGTGCCTCGAAAAGGGAGGGTGGGAGGGCATTTGGGAGGGGCAAGGATCTCTGATGGAACAAGGCAGAGAGCTGGATGTCCTCAGGCAGAAATCCTGGAGCTAAGGAGCTGGAGGGCAGCAGGTGGGAGTGAACAGTGATTGAAACTCTGTTTTTTTTTTTTTTTTTTTTTTCCCTGAGGCTTGTGATCCTGGGCAGCAGATTACTATTATTATTATTTTTTAAAAAGGCCAAACCTCTGCCCAGTTCTGAACTCTAATTCAGCTCCCTCTTTCTTGAGGCCCCTTGTTGATTGTGTGGGGTTTCAGGGATGCTTCTGAGGGCAAAGCAGGCCCCTCACCCAGCTGGAGAGAGAAGGCAGTGAGGGAGGGCTGGATCATGCCTGCAGCCTTGGGGAGTGAAGCATTTCCAGGCACTGCTACCAGAGGGGTCAGGCCTCCAGGCCCCTGTCCCCCAAGCCCAGGACACCAGTAGCTGGGAAGGGAAGCGGGGGCCTGGCCAGTCCTGCTCCTCTGCCTCCTGCAAAGTGGACAGAGCTCCTCCTCTCCCCGCTGTGTGTTACCCTTTTTGCAATCTTACTCCCATCCCCAAAGCATGCTTTTTGATTCCAGGTGAAGGGGAAGGATAGTGGTGGTGGGGAACAGATGTTTTAATTTGCCTCAGGCCTGCGAGTCTCCCTACCTGAGCCCCAGCTTGCTGTAGAGTCTAACTGGTCCGTGGCCAGAAGGTGGGCTCCATAGCTGTCTGGGGGTTGGGGCTCCCGCACCCATTTCTGAGCATTCCTAGGGTTTGGGAGTCTGCTTATGATTCTCTGCCAGAGGCCACGGCCACCAGCCCTGAGTGTGGAACAAAGGGACACAGGGGTTAGTTCAGGGCCTTTGGGCAGCTGGTGGAGGGTCTTGGAGAGTTGGGAACCCCTTTCTAGGGAGGCTGGAGACCCTCTGGTCTGTGAGTGGACAGCTGAGAGGGGGGCAGGGGGAAGGAGGGGAGAGGAAGATGTGGGTGCTGCCTGCTGGGCACCCGGGATGTGGGAGGACAGACAGCCTCCCAGGCAGAGTGAGTGGGAGCTGCCTTGGAGCCTCTCAGCAGCTGTCCCCGGGGAGGCCTGGCTGTGCGGCGGGCGCCCCCTCTGTGTGAGCAGCCCAGGCAGCTTGAAGAGAGGCCCAAAGGAAGTGCTGTCAGGAAACTCTGAAGAGGAGGGGTCCGGGCTTGCCAGTTCCCTACCAGGGGGTTTTCCAGAAGGAACAGGGAACTCCCTGCATGAGGGGAAAGATTTGGAAGTGAGTGGGTTCCTGGAACAGGCTCTCTGAGCTCTGAGTGAGCCCTGCCTGTAAGGGGGTCCTGAGGTGACTCCAGCTTCTGTCCCCACTCCTTCCCTTTCTCTGCTCCAGTGCCAGCTTCAGGTCGCAGGGCAGGTGGCCTTGAGAGAGGGACCTTTCACAGTTTCCCCCTCTTTGGCTCCACCAGGAGAAGGGAGTATTTTGCTGATGGCGACATTTCCCAGGGCAGGCCAGAGGAAGGCAGGAACCAGGACTGGCAGGCAGCCAGAACCCTCTTGGACAGAGATATAATTACTCATCATGACCTCTAGCCCAGGCAGCAAGCAAAATGGCCCTGTAGGCTGGCACCAACCCTGTCTAGCAAATAAACACAGCCGTGGTGGGGACGGGAGGGCAGGTAAGTGGGCCTTGTAGGAAATGGAAGAGGCCCGCGAGCCCCTGGGGCCTGTATATCCCCTCAGCAACACAACCCTACAGACCCCCAGGTTATATTTTCACTCACTGCATCCCATTTGCTCATTTGCTCGCCTCTCTGTATCTCTGTTATTCATTTCAATGTTATGAATATTGATGATGAGAACAGGAATGCCCATGCGTGCGTGCGCGCGCGCACACACACACACGCACACACACACACCCTGCTTAATGAACTAAAGGGAAACTTTGATGTTGCTCCAGGACAAGAGGGAGAGCCAGGGGCTGCTAGGCAAGGTGCGTCTTTCTGAAATCTTCTCCACTCCCGCTCCTCTGGCTCACAGCTCCTGCACAGCCACAGGGGTTGCAAAGGGAGCCTTGTGCTTGGAAAGTCACTGGCTCCATGACCTCTTTCCTTCTCTTCTCTTCGTTCACCTGTGCTTCTTTTCAGGAGAGACATTTGGTAATAGTTGGGGACTTGAAAAGTCTCAATTCTGCTATCAAAGGGATGCAAAGCTTTTATGGCTAGAATGGGGGTTGTGGTTTTTGTGGACTTGGTTTGCCCTTCCATGTCTACTCCCCACTGAGACCTCGATTCTCATCCTGCCCTCTCCCTTCCCTACACTGTTTCCTCCCTTCCCTCTGCCATGCTAGATGCTAAGGAGTGGGGTGGAGGTGGGAAGTGGGAAGCAACAGTGGTGTAAAGGAAAAAGAAAATATACCCCGTGCACATTTTCAACATGTAGTTGAAGAGGCCTAAATTAGGTACTAGAAAAAAATAAAGGACAGAAACACTGCCTGATATGTGAGCGAGAGCATGAAAATATAGAACGATTATCTCAGAGCAGAGGAGGTGGGGAGCAGGTGGCTGGAGAGAGGCGGGGTAGGTAGGCAGGGCGTCCCTGGCTCACCAGTGCATCTGGTCCACATGGCGTTTGGGAAAGCAGATGGGTCCTGCTTTTGCGATGAATGGTCAGATGCTTAGGGGGCACTTGTGCACCTCTGGCCGGGAAAGGGAACACAGTCCATCCGAGCTGCCCCCCACTCATCTGCCATGGTTGTCCACTCTGGGGGTTTTTCCTCTGAAGGAAAATGAACCCATCTTTTGCTTGCCATGAATCATTGCAAGGCAGGCTGTTACTGGCTAAATTAAAACCCTTGGCAGGGCATCGACTATGTGCAAGGCAATGCTCTAGGTCCTGTAGAGGCTGGAAAACAAACCACATCCTGGCCCAGCCTTCAAGTTGCTTTTCAGCTATAAAATTAAGTTCTGCCAAGGAATCGTGACTATAGGTCAAGCATCGCGCCACCACGGAAGGTAGATGTATATGTAGGTTTCTCTGCTGAGGATGCGTGTTCCTCAGTAGAAGACAAGCAGGTGGAGGCATCCAGTGATTTCCACCCTGTGGAGGTTGAGGGGTCGGGGGAAGAAAACAGATGACCTCAGCCTAGTTGCTTTAATCTGCTTTTCCAAGCACTAGATGCTCTTGGATGACAGCATCCTCAGCATTAAAACTGGTGAACTGATGAAGGCACCTGGGCTGGAGTGCGTTGGGCAGCCAGTGCCCCCAGTGCTGCTTGAAGGTTCTTGGGGTGGAAGACAGGGAGGTGCAATTGGTAGGGCCTGATCAGAGGCAGAAAATGACCCCCACAGTGGTCTTATCCCTGCTAGAGAAAGCAGACAGGGGGACTACTGGGGTGGGGGGGGCTTCATGCACAGATTGGGCACACTCCACCAGACCCCAGCAAGGTCAGCTGCCCCATGCCCGTGTCTGGCACTGCTGGTGTGTGCAGGGATGAAACCCAGCATCAGAGAGCTTTTCAGCAAACCTTCCATGCTCACCTTTGGCCAGGTGCTTGTCAGATCCTAGCTTCATGCTGGCTTAGACTGTCAGTTGTTTGTGTTGACAGCATTAGGAATAAACCATTTGTTTCATCTTTCCTTTTCTCCACATGTGTCACAGCCAGATTTCAGCTTTGAGTTATTCCCTGAAGAAGCCACACCAAGCTCGCTTTCAAGCAAAATGCCTGGGCTTGGGGGAAGGCATGTATCTGTCCATGCGTGGATGTCGGCTCAGAGCTGTAGCTTCTCTGTGGGGCTGGCCCGAGGGAAGGCTCCTCTGGGGCCCTAGACGGCACATGGCTCCCAGCGAGGGGAATTCTGGTGATCTCTGTGGAGGTAGCCAGGGACACAAGGCTTGGCTGTGAGTCTGGTTTTAAAGTGCGTGAGAGCCTGAAAAGCATGAAGGGGTTTGGTCCACTCACCTACTTGAAAGCCTGTGGGCAAGGTTCTCTTGAGCCAAGGCTCCTCTGAATGGCTCTGCTGGTGGAAGGGGTGAGGCAAAGGCCTCTGACTCGGACCCTTCCCACACCAGACTGGCAGCACTGCCCCCAGGCAGCCAGTGGTGGACCCTGAGCCTTCAGGCCCCCAGCTCCTTGAGGGATGAGCCTGGGAGCTCGAGAGCCAGCGGCTGAGCTCTGAGAATTCTCCATCTCCTGCCTGCCCTTGAGTGCGCTCTCAGTCTGAGAACACAGTCTGATCAGGCGCCCTCCCGCCTTGATGCTGTGCTGTCTGTGTCACACGGTCGATTCACAAAAGCCAGAACTAGACCTCAACCAGGTCTGCTCCCCCTTGCCAAGTGGGTTCAGGGTGAGGGCAATTTTTAAGCCCAGTTTCTCTCTTTGATAGCCAAGACATGGAACATCTCTGCTAAGAAGCCGAAAGAAATTGGTTTTCTTCTCGTTGCTGAAATCCCTCTGTGTCTCTTCTCATGGACAGGCTGGTCCAGTGGCTTTGGTGAGGGCACCTCCATTTATGAACACTGGGATTCCTCTGGGTGGGCTTTGACAGGTGGCTCCTGCGGTAGGAAGGACGACGAGGTCCCTGGGAAGGAGCTGCCTACCCGCTGCTCCACGAGGAAGCTCAGGCTTGCACAGGCTCCACCAGGCCTTGGATGCCCTCTGGTTGAGTCAGAGAGCGTGTGGACTTGCAGAAGGGGTGTGTTTAGTCTTCATTGCCCTTTCTCAGCTGGTGAATAGAGACCCTGGGCATCTCACAGCCTTAGGAATGTACTGCCCCTCCATTGCTTTAGACTGCCTTGGGAAAGGGGACCCTGGAAATGCACTGAGATCTCCAATTACTGCCTCCATTGATGTCTCTAGACCTGCAGATACGACGCAAACCTGGGATCACTTCTTCCAGGTGTGGGCACCAGAGAGGGAAGCCACTGCAACATTTTATCCCCATCATTCCAACATGCTTGCTTGTCTCTTTTACCCCACACCCACAACTCCTTCTGAGACTCTTAGTCATAAAAGAATGACCAAGAGAGTTGGGCTCCAGCGAGAGAAATGCCTATGAAAGAGGGTTTCCCTTTTTGCTCCTTTGAAGGCCCTCCCCACTGATCCTTGGAACCCAATACCGCATTGCCTCTTGTGGATGAGTTTTTGCCTTGGTCTGCTTGGGTACTTCAGACCAGGACTGAGTCTGACACAGCTTTCATGAAGTTACAGAAAAGGGCTACAGATTTGGGAAGTTGTGTGTAATGGTCTAGAGACAGTATCTCCATTTGGCTCACCCTGGTTTCTCTAAAAAGCAACGACAGCAACAGACAAACAAAAAGCTCCCGCCTCCCACCCCATTAGCTGTCCTCCTCCTTACTGTGATGTGGTTGCGGTCTCTGTCTGTAGGTGTGTGTGCCGCCTTGGCCCTCTGTCCTCTGGGGATGTGCCCTTCCCACGTGTGTCAGGTTCCCACTCTTTCGTGACTCCTAACGTGAAGTGCTGTGATGTTTCTGCCCTAAGGGACGTATCAAGCTCTCTGTGTTTCAGTGTTGGAGATTGAGGCTGTGCCACATCTCCTGCCATCCTAAGGGGACATGCCGGTTCTGTTACTTCCCAGAGAGCTGCCAGATTGTGACAGTCTCCAGGAGAACCTACAGATTGGAAGCAGACCCGGGAATCGCTCTTCATTCAGAAGACTGGTGGCCCACATGCCAGGACCGCCCCACCTCTCTTGCTGCCTTTTCTCCTGTCCTGACAGGGTTCTGGGAGGGAGACCTGTCGCTGATGGGATGAAGAATGACGTGGGGATCGAGCAGCCTTTGTCTTTGGGACCCCTCGATATCCCATGGAACCCTCGCACGTTCTCAAAGACTGAGTCACAAGCCCCTACCCCTTCCTTGCTGTGGTTAGTATCTTGTTCTGTGATTGGTTAGCAATGTTGACTACCCACGTAGTGAATTATTTAGAGAATGTGTAAACAAATAAAAGCCTTTAAAACTCTTGGAAACTCTTATTTTCCCTACCAATAGTTAGGACCTCACTTGCAAATGTAGAGATCCTGTGGGGGTAGAGCCTTTCATGTTGGGGTGTGCAGTAGGACTGCATTGTGTGTGTGAGAGAGAGAAACACACATGCATGTGCATCAGGCTCCAGAGAAACACTAGTGCTTTCATAGTTGCAAAGAGACTCCTGGAGCAACAAATTCCAGGTCTCACTTGCTGCCTGATGATGGGCTTCCGACCACGTCATACATGGCACCAGGGAAGCCACAGTCACAGTGACAGCTTTCATGGGCACAGCAGGCAGCATAGCTTCAGGCCTTAACTGAGAGCTTCAGCTGCAGGAGTAGAGGAGCTCATTTTCTGGAGACCCCTCAGAGAAGATCCTCGGGCATCCTGAAGGGAGCCCCCTAGATTTTCTGGGGCAAGGGAGGTTGATGACTCAGAGATGACTCACAGCAGAGGTGGGGGAATACGGTTGGGGGGAGAGAGAGACCTCTGGTGCAGGGCCCGTCTGGAAGCCAGCTGAGTCATTGCTCCTTCCCTCTCAGCTGCCTTCCATAAAGGCAGTGAGTTGGCTGCCCTGGGCAAGGAGCAAGAGGCATCACAGAGGACATATCTGCCCCTAGAGTCTCCAGAGTCTGCTTAGCAACGGCCTTCAAGGAACAGCCTCTGGGTATAGGACTCCTGGTCCATGCAGGAATTGGTTTCCTGAGGCTGCAAGTTAAGAGTCAGTCTTCCAAAAATAAATTTTAGATAGATAAATAAAGGCTTCTACTCTATGCTAGGTAGTGGGGCTACAGCAGAGAAGACAAAGCTCCACCTCTCATGAGGCTCACAGTCTTGCCAAGGAGGCAGGCACCAGACAGCTAATAATACAACATGTGATGAACGGGGTCAAGGGGGAAATCGAGGGAACTAGAATACGAGCTCCCTGGTCTCAATCAGTCAACATAGTTTTAGTTGGAATCTACTGTGAATTTTGGTAAGACACAGGTGGGCATGGCAGTGGGAAGACACCATGTCACTTCTTATTCCTCCCCTAAGTGAGTGCTGCACTGTTCTTTAATGAGTCATCCGTGTGCCTTCAGCCTTTGCTTTTCTAAGCATAATGTGGGGCCGTTATTTCAGCAGAGGAGTCATTGATGGTTGCTGCAGACATGGGCCATTGAGCAGGTTGTTGAGCGATTTCTGCAGTGGGAGAGATGTCTGCATTCAGGGACCAGAGGGGAAAGGCCAGGCCTTCACCCAAAGCAGTTTCAAGCGACAGCTGGACCTGCAGTGCTGAATTGCTAATTTCAGCAATCGGGGGGACTTAGGCTCATGTAACAAAGTCCAGGCAGCAGCAGATTACACAGACACCCACATCATTCAGGCCTTTTATCTGCATGGAGAGCTGTGCACGTTTCTGCTTTAACCCCAGGGAACCCGGCATTGCATCCTGGTCTGCTATGCTATGAATGTTATGTCCCCCAAAATCCATATGTTGAAATCTCCACCCTCAGGGTGACGGTATTAGAAGCAGGGACTTTGGGAGATGATTATGTCATGGGGGGCAGAGTCCACATGAATGGCATTAGTGCCCTTATAAAGGAAGCCCAGGACAGACCCCTTACCCCTTCACCATGTGAAGCTGGAGAAGGTGGTTGTCCATCAGCAGGCAGGCCCTTGCTGGACACCGAATCTGCTGGCACCTTGATCTTGGACTTTCCAGTCTCCAGAATTGTGAGAAATAAATTTGGCTTATTGTTGATAAGCCACCCAGTCTATGGCACTTTGCTACAGGAGCCCACACAGACGAAAACAGTTTTATCCCACCAATTTCTGAGAAGGCTTTTGAGAAGGCAGTAAATGTGCCATGTTCTGGTGGGCCTGAGAAAGTTAACTATTATAACGCAGACCAGAAACTGACATTGCCGAGTCAGAGGGATGGAGGAGGGAAGGGGTATTAGTCCATTTTACGTTTACTAAAGGATATACCTGAGGCTGGATAATTGGTAAAGAAAAGAGGTTTATTTGGCTCAAGGTTCTGCAGGCTATACAAGGAGCATGGCACCAACACCAGCTTCTTGTGAGGACCTCAGAAGCTTTCAATTGAGGAGGAGCAGGTGTGCCACATGGCGAGGGAAGGAGTGAGACAGAGGGAGGTCCTAGGCTCTTTTTAACAATCAGTTCTAGTGTGAACCAACAGAACAAGAACTCAGTCATTACCTACCGCTGGGAGGGCACAAAGCTATTCATGAGGGATCCCCCAACTCCATGACCCAAACACCTCCCATTAGGCCTCACCTCCGACACTGGGGATCACATTTCAACACGGAATTTGGCGGGAACACACATCCAAACTATCAGCGGGGAAAACTGGAGGGATCCAAGTTACGTTCAAGCAAACACAGAGCAGAACGGCCTTCCTCTGCTTTTTCCCTGGGGAGAGGCAAAGGCTTGGAATGGTGGCAGAGCGAGGTGGTGAGGCCTAGGAAGAAGGGACCGTGGGATAAGATGTTGATGAGTGGCTCAACACCCGGCAGTAGTGGGAGTCTGAGGGGTGGGGTTGCGATAGAGATATAATATGGTTTCCCCTCCCTGGCTTGGCAGAAAGGCTACTGAGAGAGGAATCAGAAGTTCTACATCTTGTCTTATCTGACTAGGTGACATTTGACTTTATAGATACAGGCGTGAGTTTCTAGAGTTTCTATAAAATCAGCCCTAACTTGGCAGTTTTGGGGAAGGGGCCATGTAGATCGAGGTGTACACACACCAGATGCTCACGCCTGTCTTCCAGCCCCCAGAGTTGGCCTAAGTCAGGGGCCCTCTGGGGTGTCTGGTAAAGTGTGTTTCCATGCAGTGCCTTGGAATGGCATGGTTTAATCCCAGACACGATGAGGTCAGAGGTTTATGTTGTTCTAGAACAGTGGTTTTCCAAGCAGATTCTGCAGAGGCCTAGGATTCTGGGAGTGATTTGGGGATGCCCAGAGGTCTCGAGGGACAGGTTTGGAAGGAAGTCCTAGAGCCTTGAGCCCCAGCTTTCAACTGAAACCAGTGACCAGCACAGCTCCAATTTGATCTGCGTCTTCTATTGGTGATTCTGCTGCTTCAAAAAACATGCAACAGTTTGAAACCATCTTTGGGGCTAGATGGTGGGAAGGGCACAGGGGTGTCTTCTGAGGTTGTGCAGAGTGATGATGGGAGGTCACCTCAGTCCCGTGACCCTCTGCCATGCACAAATGGACGTAGCCCATTCCCGGCTTTTGCCAAGGGAGTCTGATCTCCACTTGGGGCTTCTCCCTTGGGTTACTCTTAAGAAGAGCAGAGGGACATTGGTATCATGACCAGGAGGTTACACTCTGTCCATTCCTGGGCATCCCTGCAGCCTGCAGCACACACTACCCTACCTGCCCCCACCCAGGCCTGCCTTGGTGTTCTGCTGTCACATCTGCGTCATAAGCCTCAGCCCATGTTTTGAACCATCAGCGCTTTTAGCAGGGCCAGAACAACAGTGTGTCCCCAAGGTGGGTGGGTTAGGAATGTTCGGGCTAAACTTCAGGTAATTAGCATTGTTAACGCTCGTTCTGTGATATTACAGCTGTGAGCCTCATTAAAGTGTTCTCCGGGGGAAGCAAGCTGAGATCCAGGTGTCAGTTCTGCTCTGCACGCAAGCGCCCGCCTGCCATCTCCCAGCCTCTGTGCTGAAGCCTGGCTCATTCCCATCCCCTCCTCCTGCTCCTGCTCCCTCTCTGCTGGCATCTGGGCTGGGCCTGCTTCCCTTTGCTGGGATTTGCTCCTTCCCATCCCCTTCTCCAGCATGGAAAGCTCTGTCTCCCCTTTACCCAGAGAGAAACGTGCCCACAGCACAGAGTGGAATGGCTGCCGCTGGTCCTTGATCACTCCAACTCAGCTTTGAAAGAAAGATTATTCTGCTCCAGGCAGGGAGCCCAAACCTGCCCTCTACAGTGCCACGGCATTTTATCCATGGCTGTACCCTCCCTTGCCTACCAGAAAACTCAAGACCTGGTGCCCCCCACCCCTTGGCTATTTCCTGGGTCCAACTGGCATCTGCTGCAGTGGCCTCGCCTCAGAAAGAAACCCGAGTCCCTCCGGCTTTAATTTCTGGGATTCCTGATTCCTGGGAGGGGAGGCAGGGGACTGACTATTTGCCAAACAGAGAAATATGAAACGCTGTCCAACCCCCTTGAAACCTTGAGGAAAATAATGCCATCCCCGCCAGGGACTAAACACAGGCTCAGCCCAAAACAGAGAGGGAAAACACAATTCCAGAGAGCCTCCCTCGGGGCTGGGAGGAGCTAAGGAGGGTCATACAGGGGCCCACACCCTCCGTTGTCTCCCCTTTCTGCTTTCCTCAAACCCTTGGCCCCTCTGTGTCCACCGAGGTGCATGTTCAGAGTGGTCATCCAAGCCATTTTGATGGACACAGCTCACTGTCTCATGTGGCTACAGACTTGGAGGATAAAACTTGACAGCAACTTTAGAACTTCCCAGTGGAAGCAACTGACCAACTGAGGGGAATAGCATGTATACTGTTGCCTTTAACTCAGGATGGAACCACAGATAGGCAGTCCCATAGGCACACAGGAAGGGAGACCATCTGTAGAAGGGCTTCATGAGGAGATGCATTGGAGCAGAACCTTGAAGGATGTATAAGACTTTGACAGCAGTGATTTGGGATTGGGGATGGGCTTTCCAAGTGGAGAGGGCAATTTGAGCAAACCCGCCTCCGTTTATTCTAGGGATGCTGGGCTGAGGTTGTCTGGGACCTGTGTCTTAGACACTGTGACCCAGGCTGCACCCCAGATCTAGGGCAAACTCTCCCATGGAGCCCTAGTTGCCACATGACACACAGAGGGCCATTTTCTGAAGCTAAGAGCCAATGTCAGGGGCTCGGAGTCTTTAACCTGTGAGAAAGAGCCTGAGATCTTCTAGCAACTAGTCTTGCACTTTGTTTGATGTGTAGGCTTGGATCCCGTTAAACTATACTCTCTTGGATC